AATAAAATGAAAGGGAGAAAGTAGATATCCACCCCACAAAGGGCCTGGGCATGAAAACATTCATTATTAAACAAACTACCATTACAGCTAGAGATTAAGACTTCCTCCCTATATGCCCTTCAAGAGTCACACTTAGCTGGCCATTTTCCACCAGGAAGCAAGACCCCTCAATGACTACGTGATCCAAAGTAGACTATGCTCTGTTGTAACGTGAAGTGGTCAAACTGAAGAAAGACATGTGCCTAGATATGAAGTTCAAGAGGTGAAAGGCACTGTCAAAAAAAGCCCTTCAGGGTCACCATTTTGGCATGGCCCAGCACAAAGAACCTGACCAGGCTGATGACACTTTCCTCAGCTGTTTGGTAGAGGACAGAGAAAGCTTACATGCAGGAGAAATCCACGTCCCATGCACCAAAGATAACGGGGGAAGGCGGCAAGTGGCTGCAGCCAGGGCAGTCAAGGGAGGTATGTGAGTTTTCTTCACCTCCTTCTCACAGAAGGGGCAGGCCACTGATGCCTCTGGGCTACATGGTGGACAAAGGTGCCAGTGGTCAGGTTACCACGATATAAATAAAATGTTTATACCCTGGCTCTTATCCTTCTTTCTATTCTGTTTTCAGATTTCATGTGAACCTTGAGGTGTCTTTATACAGAAAATGTATTGTACCCTAGAAATAACTAGTATTATTTTCCTTTCATATACACCAATTGTGTGTGCACATTGCACTTACTATAAAAGGGTTGAGGAGAATAGACAAATTCAGTCAGTGGCCTCCCCCAAGAGTCTAAAAGTCCAATGTTACCATCCAATAATTGATGGCCAAATGAAAATAGTGACAGGAATCAATATAGTTCTTACTGGATCAGTGTTTAAATAGCTACCATAAACCAAAGGAAATTAAAATTTGGATAAATTAGTTTGGATGCTTATCTTGCTGGAATCCTTTGACCCTAGCTGACTTCCTGCCCCTGAGGCAGAGGGCTGGACTTGATGCTCTTCAAGGTCCCTTCCAGCCCTAACATCTATGAAATCTAAAACTGCTTAGTAATTGTAGCAAACCAAAAATAATTTCACGACTCCAAGGAGCAGACATGAGATTTGTTTTCTTCTTTTCTTCAGCATTTTTTATGCCTCAATTCCCCAAACATACCAAAACAACCCCTGACCCATTCCTCCTAGGAAGTGTCCACACTGGCCTTTACAAGCATGCTACATACCTCAAGATAACAGCATTCATTGAAGTTAAAATGGTGCAAATTCCTTGCACGTAAAATACAAGTGCTTTTGCCCATCATACACCTGGTCTGCAGAGCCAACACTAGAATCTCAAGCCCTCTCCCCTTCAGACATTTTTGATGCACAGTTTAAATTAATTGCAATTAAAAAAAATAAACCAATGAACGTTTAACACTTTTTTCACCTGTGAAACCACTTGGTTTAAATGGAAACCAAAAACACTACAATCAAACTAGGTATCAATCAGTGACCCACCTTGCTTTGCATCTTAAATGCAGCTAGCAAAACTGACAGCCTTGAATACATCATTTTAACTTGTTTTCCATAAAGGACTGCACCTTTGTTTTCGAGACAATAACATTCAGTAGTTAACTTATTACCAAATGGCCACACCTACTAAGTTTACCCATGTTATACATTTGCTGATTCTGCTTAAGCTTCTATTGAATGAGTCACCAGTTCCCATTTTAGTTGCAAGTGAGCTGGACAGTCAACTTCATAACTGACTGTACTGTATTATACATACAGGTAACATGAAATACACCCCCCCCTCTTTTTTTTCCTAAAGGTAAAAAGAAAGTTGAAGGATGTATATACAGAAGTGTCTACTTATATGAAAAACTTCTGTGGAACATAATCAATCTATAAATCTCCTTGGCAAAAAAACCTGACAACAAAACCACCTGTATTTGTTCAAAATTGTTTAATTTATACTGATCAGACAACAAGACAACCTGGTTTGTCATCCTTGACAACACTGACTCAATCATCAGGCAAGGTGTGGAAATACTTGCATACTTTAGGAAGCTGTCATCAAGCTTAATTAGTGTTTAGAAAGAGCTCTGAGATTTCTGGTTTGTAGGTGCTCTATGCATGAAACTAGACTTTAAAGAATACCATTCTAAAAACCCTGACTAATCACTAGCTGTTAATGAAACAAATATGACAAGATTTTAAAATGTAGTTAAGTTAAAATGAGAAAGGCCTGCCACTCGGAATTAAAATAAATAAATAAATAAATAAAAACTAATACTGAAGTAGGAGTCAAGAATGGCATCTGTGCCTCAATTTTAGGTCTGTAAACGGAGTTATTATCTACAAAATTCTTCTACAAATATCACTTTTGGCAGTATTTGCAAATACATTGAATTTTTATTTTAAAGTTACCAGATACGGTTTAAGGATATTTTAAGCACTCTACTGATGGGGGAATAGAACAGTAGAGAAAGATTAGAACTGTCATTTGTGCATTTAATATATTTTTAATTTTTTTTCACTGTTCTGGCTGGAAGGTGTTTTTAACCAACATAATTGCACTACTAAACAAAAACTAAATACAGTAAATATGCAGGGACTTCATATCCCCCAAAAGCCTCAAAGTAATTCCAATTCTTAAAACAATACAATATAGGTTATCCACCTCTAAAATGTCAAAAGGGCAGCTGTTGACAAGAACAAACAGCTTTGCATTAAGAAAACATCCAACTGAAACTGGAGTGTTAGCTACACTCCCCAGTTAAATATCCACCACAATCCTGTCCCAAAAGTGATAGGATCATCCACTTTAAAATACTAGGCCACTATTTCAGTTCTAGATCAGAGAAGAGTGGTGTTTGAAACACGTCCAACTTCTGCCCCAATATTATTATCAGAAGCACGGTTTGTTTGGAACTATCTTTTTTTGGACTAACAATTTTCTTTTAGTTGGGAAAGAACTTAGATAAGCTTTCAGGTAAAAAAGTGCCCTTCCTCAGGTCTGGAAAAACAAGCAGATACAGCCTAGAAAGACCAAGGAAAATAATGACTTGTCCTTAACTCCATTTAATGTAAATAAAAACAGTCATCTGAAGAAATGGACCTGTGAAGCAAAGAGAAGTTACCAGAAGCAGTTACAAGCTAAATAAAGGGCAGTTGAAATAAACTTATTTATGTAAAAGAACAGGACCATTCATAAGACCTTACTAATTTGTGATATTGTCCAATACACCAAGAATTATTTTGACTCAACACCTTTTTTTTTTTCCTTCTAAGATTTGACTACAGTGTAACTCTCAATGAAGTGAGCTTGAGTTCATGAAAATTCAATAATCTTAATGTTAGGTGCATATCTACCCTCAGTGTAGCCTCTTTTAAAAGAAGAGGTGGTCCCGAAAGTCTTGCATTTGTTAGAAGCTTAACATTTAAGCCCTCACATTCTGTGTACTAGTTAAATAAAATTAAAAGCTCCCTGATGTAGGAGAAAATTGAGAAGAGACTAAAAGGGCTGTAGCTACGATCTAGTAAATGTAGTTGCTGGTGAATTTTATTACATACCTATAAATGCCAATACAGCCAAAAGAACTCTGATCTGTACTGTGCAGACAGTAAAACAAGCGTAAATTCTAGCTTAATTTCAGCATAAAAGCTTATACTGAAATTCAGCTAATCCAAGTGTCAGAATTTGGAGCCAAGTGTCTCCATTCTTAATTTTTTCCCAAAACATAACCACAGATGGTTAGCCCTTTCCCAGATCAGCTGTTTCCCAAACCCCGCTTTAGCTGAGCTCTGAAGTTTGCACAGGAGATTTGAAACTTAAAAGGGAGTCGTCCAGACACCACGTCCTCTGAAAGAAAATCCTGCCTGGCATATTTCCGCCGCAACTCCTATTTACAGGTCACTTACAAACCCATGGGGAAAAAATTAGTTCCTGATGCGACATAACCTGACCACAATGCAATGACACGAACTTTTGTGGATGCTGTAAGAGCCCATTATTGAGCAATTCACCAGGAGGACTAAGCACAGTGTCACAATGCTGCCCCGGAGATGAGGCACAAACCCGGTACCTAAATCACCGCAGCAGGAAGGTCCTGCCTAACAGGCTTGGGAGCTGGTGATGCCCGGACTTCCAAGGGTGGCGCTCTCCAGGCCTCCTTCCTCCCCGCACCCCCCAGGCTGCTCACAGCAGTGGCGTCTTCCCGCGAGCCCAGTGCGGGGACCCCGTTGGGGCCGAGTCCGGCCTCGACCTCTCGCTTTCGATTCCCGGCGAGCGCATGAGGAAGCGCCTTCCCCCCCCACCCCCCGCGCCACGAGGCGCAGCAGCCCCAGGCCGCGTGGGGCCGGCCCAGAAACCCAGCCCCGGCCGGGCCCTGCAGCAGGCCGGAGCCGTGGCGGGGGAGGGGAACATGGCTCCCGCCCGGCGCTCACCGTCGGCGGGCTGCTGGAAGTTGACGTAGGCGTAGCCCAGGGAGCGGCGGGTGATCATGTCCCGGCAGACGCGGATGGACAGGATGGGCCCGGCGGGGCTGAACTTCTCGTACAGCATGGCCTCGGTGACGTCGGGGTGCAGGTCCCCCACGTAGAGCGAGGCCATGGGGTAGCTGGGCGCGCTGGGGTTCATGCTGCCGCCGGCTCCCGCACCAAGGGCTGCGCTCCGGCGGGGGGGGGC